TTGTTTGCAGTAAAATAGTGGGAAAGCACCTTATTTAATGAGATCGTCAGGACTTGGGCAGGATATAACTCCTGCTCTCTTGAGGAATAATTCTGGGGGGGGAGAACCCTCACCTTTTACTCGGGCCCATGAGGTGGTTTTGGGTACCTGCCACGGCACACAGCTCCTGGGTAACCACATGTGGGCTCCATGGCCACTCCAGAGTCCTCACCCCTCCTCCAACCTCCTATTTTTCTAGATGACTGAATATGATAACCAAGGACCACAGGATATGCCATGAAATGAATCTACTGGTTGTGTTGTTAAGTGTCATCAACCAGCACTTCCTGAACATTTGTAGTGCTGGGCCCTGAGACAGGTACAAAACAAACTGAAAGTAAGTGTGGTGAGTCCTAGCCTGGAGGAGTAAGTGAGGAGGTGGGGAGCAGAGAGTGGGAAAAGGGAAGGGGTTGGGAGGCAGTGCGTATTTATGGAGGTTCTGCAGTGTATCAAATATTTCACAAACATCATCTCCAACCCTCAAAACTACTTGTGGGGAGGAATTATCCTCCTTACACATCCTAACTCCTCCTTGATTAGGAATTAAGTGTGTGTTCTTACGATAGTACTTTACCTCCCTTGGGAGCTCTGGTGGCATAGTGCCTAAGGCATTTGACTGCTAACCAGAAGGATGGCAGTTCAAACCCACCAGCCACTCCTCAGAAGGAAGACTGAGCAGTCTACTTCCAAAGAGATACTGCATTGGAAACCCAAGGAGGCGTCACTATGAGTCGGATTCGACTTGAGGGCAGTGAGTTTGGTTTTGGTTTTTCACCACCCTTGGCCTCAGTTTCCTCATCTGTAAATGAGGGATAATAATATCTACCACATAGTCTTGGGAGGATTAAATGAGTTCTGTTCTAAGCACTGTGCATGCATTAGTTTACAATAGCAAGCCTTGATCGACATTAGCTCCTATTATTATTACAACATATGAGGAAGCTGAGGCTCTCCAAGAAGCCTAGAGACACACCCATAGGGATGAAGAGCTGGCCCAGTACTCTCTGTTCCACTCTACAAACTGCAATACACCAAGGGTTCAAGGGGAAACTTTGCCCTTCACTGCAGGCCTGGACTTGGCTGCCCTCTCTGCCCTCTTTGGAGAAACAAGGCCAATTTTTCAATGAAAGATGAAGAGCAGCTTGGGGTAACCCCAGGTCACCTGTGGCTACGTGCATAGCCAGCTATGAAAGGGACTTGGAGCGAGGGATGATCACAGTTTTCTTCTGAGGTGGACAGATGCTCCTCCAGTCATGTCTTAGCTGTGAGACCTTGGGCAAGACTTTCTGAGTCAGTTTCCTCATCTGAAAGGAGATGTCCTGAAGAGGACATCATGCTTGGTAAAGCAGAGGGTCAGTGAGAAAGAGGAAGACCCTCAGAAGATGGATTGACACAGGGTCTGGAACAATGGGCTCATAGATAGCAACTGCTGTGAGGATGGTGCAGGACTGGGCAGTGTTGTACATGAGGTCGCTGAGTGGAAATGGACTAGACCAATAGCATCTGACAACAACAGCATTTTTCTGTGGGGGCAATAGGGGTTCAGTGGTTGAATTCATGCCTTCCAGGTGTGAGACCCGAGCTGGATATACGGATGAAGTTTCTCCCACCTCTGGCCATCAGAGTGGGAGGAAGGGGATGATAGTCAGTCAGCAGGGTGCAAAGGGGGCTCTTGCCTTGAGGTAGGAGATGAGGTGGCTTACATGAGAAACCTGAGGTCCTGTTCACCCAAGATCCTCTCTCCTTTCTCTCTTTCTCCTCCTTTTTCCTACCTTACAGGGCAGAAGACATCCTCACCTAGCAGATCTTTACACTTCTGGCAGTGTCCTGAGTAGGAACTTGAACCAGAACTTTGGAAGATCTTGTTCTCAACTTGACTCTGTCACTAATTTGCAATGCAACTTTGGGCCTCTCCCAGGGGCTCAATTGTTATAATTATCTCATAAATTAATATAGTAAATGCAGTTCGTAAACTATGATAATATGGCTATGTAAACAATTACTGCTTTTAATTCATGCCTCAAGTTGCAATATTGAAGGATTCTATGGGCAAAATGGGAGCTCTGGTAGCATAGTGCCTAAGGCACTCGACTGCTAACTAGGAAGCTGGTGGTTCAAACCCAGCCACTCCTTGGAAGGAAGTTGGGCAATCTACTTCCGTAGTGATATTGCCTCGGCAACCCAAGGAGGGGGTCTCTATGAGTCGAGTCCGACTCGACGGCACATAACAATAACAATAACATGGGCAAAATATTGAACAACATAGGAAGCATCAAAAGAAGATGGAAGGAATACAGAGTCACTTGTACCAAAAAGGAACTGGTCAACATTCCACTATTTTAGGAGGTAGTATGTCATCAAGAACTGATGGTTCTTAGAAGAAGTCCAAGTTGCAGTAACAGCAATGGTGAAAAATAAGGCTCTACGAATTGACAGAATACCAACAGAGATATTTCAACAAACGGATGTGATACTGGAAGCACTCACTCATCTATCCCAAGAAATTTGGAAGACAGCTACCTGGCCAACTGACTAGAAGAGATCCATATTTGTGTCCACTTAAAAGAAAGGTGATCCAACAGAATGTAGAAATTATTGAACAGTATCATTAATATCACACAAAAAGGACTGCAACAGTACATAGCAGGAAACTGCCAGAAATTCAAGCCAGATTCAGAAGAGGATGTGGAACAAAGACTATCATTGCTAATGTCAGCTATATCTTGGCTGAAAGTAGAGAATACCAGAAAGATGTTGACCTGTGTTTTACTGACTATACAACAATTAATTATACTAATGCAAAACCTGTACATAGACTAAGAGACAGTCATTCAACAGAACAAGGGGATATTACATGGTTTGGGAATGGGAAGGATGTGTATCTGGGTTGTATCCTTTTACAAATAATCCAAGAAACTGGACTATATGAAGAAGAACATGACATCAGGATTAGAGGAAGTCTCATTAACAACCTGCAATATGCAAATGACACAACCTTGTTTGCAGAAAGCAGAGAGGACTTGAAACACTAACTGATGAAAATCAAAGACTATAGCCTCAGTATGGATTGCATCTTAATATAAAGAAAACAAAATTTCCTCACAACTGGACCAATAAACAACATCATAATAAATGGAGAACATATTGAAGTTGTCAAGGATTTCATTTTATTTGGCTCCACAACCAACACCCATGGAAGCAACAATCAAGAAATCAAGTGACATTACATTGGGCAAATCTGCTGCAAAAGACTTCTTCAAAGTGTTCAAACGCAAAGACGTCACTTTGAGGACTAAAGTCTGACTGATCCAAGCCATGATATTTTCAATCATCTTATATGCATGCAAAAGCTGGACAATTAATAAGGAAGACTGAAGAAGAACTGATGCATTTGAATTATGGTGTTGGTGAAGAATATTGAATATATCATGGACTGCAAACAGAATGAACAAATCTGCCTTAGAAGTACAGCCAGAATGTTCTTGGAAGGGAGGTTGGTGAGACTTTGTCTTACTTACTTTGGACATGTTATGAGAAGGGTCCAGTCCCTGGAGAAGAGCATCATGATTAGTAAAGTGGAGCGTCATCGAGAAAGAGGAAGGCGTCAAGTAAATGGATTGACTCAGTGGCTGCAACAATGGGCTCAAACACAGCAATGATTGTGAGGATGGCACAGGACTGGGCAGTGTTTCGTTCTGTTGTAGACAGAGTCTCTATGAGTCAGAACCTACTCGAAGGCATCTGACAACAACAAATACTTATTATTCTCTTCCAAGACCACTGCTCAAAGGAATAGGTCAGTGTGAAAGTGGAAGCATTATAACTTGTGGAATCATTGGTTTGAGTTGGGGAAGAACTTAGCATAATCCAGAATCCACAGATAATATATCTGGTGATTGTGCTTTGTAGTTTACAAGGTATTTTCATTGGGTTTATCCAATTTAATCCTCACAACTATCATTAGCTTCAAAGATCACGATATGGATCCAGTTGACCTGTATGATTTATGTACTTCACAACTTTGTCTGGAGCACTAACTTGTGTGAGAGAGGTGGTCCTGGGCTGGAATGCCAACTCCAGTGCAACTTTGGGCAAGTTACTTTAGCTGTCTGTGCCTGTTTCCTCATTGGTAAAAGAGGAATATTAAGAGTTTATTCATCAATAAGTTGAGGTGAAAATTAAATGACATAACTCATGAAAGCGCTTGCCACAGAACCTGATAAAAAGGAAAACCAAACCCAAACCCACTGCCATTGAGTTGATTCTGACTCATAGCAACCCCCTTGGGTTTCTGAGGTGGTAAATCTTTATGGAAGTAGATTGCCCAGTCTTCCTTCCATGGAGTGGCTGGTGGGTTTGAACCACCATCCTTCTGGCTAGCAGTCAAATGCCTTAGGCACTAATGTTAGACACACAAACAGAAACAATAGCTAGCTATTCAATTGCAGGATTGGGCTTCTGATTCCTACTTCAGTGCTCTTTGCGCTACATAGAGCTGTTTCATTTCACAATCCTCCCTGATTCATTTCACAGTTGAGGGGCTCCAAGTTGAAGAAATAAACTGTGTAATCAATAAGAAGCTACCCAGAGCAGGCAGCAACGACGCAGCATGGTCACAGGTGAACTGGAAGTATTATTTACTGCCCTGGGGTTAAGTGCACTAATTGCCAAAGGAAAGAGCTTCCCTCTAATTGGCTCTGCAAGCTGATGAACGAGGAGCCAGACTCTTGCTGAGGTAGTCATGCAGCGGTTACATGACAAACATAAGGCTGGCAGCTCTGTCCCTGGGCAGACACATCACCTGACACAGACACTGGGGCCCAAGTCCTGGGATTGGCTTAAACCAGGGCTGTGTTGACCCACCATTGGGCCTTGGCATCCCTTCAAATTGCTGTTAGCTCTAGAGCCTAGTAATAGTTCTGGGGAAGGCTGCCAGTCTCAGCATTTCAGAGAATACAACCATGCAGGTGCTAACCAAGCGCTACCCCAAGAACTGCCTACTGACCGTCATGGACAGGTACTCGGCCACTGTGCGCAACATGGAGCAGGTGGTGATGCTCCCCAGCCTTCTGAGGGACATGCAGCTCACTGGGCATGGCGACCAGGTCCCAGATGACTCCTCTGATCTCTACAAATACTTCACCATGCTCAAGGCCATATATGTGGACGTGGATCATGGGCTACTACCCCGGGAGGAATGGCAGGCCAAGGTGGCAGAAAGTGAAGCTGATGAAGCCAAGGATGAAGCTGCTGAGACGGAGGAGGCCATGAAAGAGAGGGTCTCCAGGGAGCTGAACCTGGAAGCCCAGTTCCACCTGCACTTCTCCAGCCTTCATCACATCCTCACTCACCTTACCCTGTTAGCCGAGGAAGTGACAAGGAAATACCAGGAGATAATGGGACAGGCCATGTAGGCCTTGGACTCTGGGGAAGGTAATGGTGGCCTTGCTAGTGGGTGTCAGAGTCCACCAAGGGGATATTTCTGGGGATAGGAGGGAGCAGTAGTGCAGCCTAGAGGAAGAGGGAGAGCCCGGCTATCACAGAGACCCACCCTCTTTTCAGGGTACTGGAACCATGACCTGGGAGGGCCCATGGAAATGAACTGTTATGGAGACAGAGGGAAAAAGGTGTTTGAATACTTATGCACATGTGTGTGTTTATTTGTAAGTAGGTGAATGTTTGTAGATGTATAAATTGAATGTATTCTGTGGGCTTCTTTAAGATCTGATTTGAGATATGGACCTCTCCCCAGGGTCCAAGTATTAAAAAAACAAACCCATTGCCATGAAGTCGATTCTGATTCATAGAGAACCCCATTGGGTTTCCAAGGCTATAAATCTTTACACGAGTAGATTGCTTTATCTTCCTCCTCTGGAACAGCCAGTGGGTTTGAACCTCAGACCTTTTGTTTAGCAGCCAAATGCCTTACCCACTACAGCACAAGAACTCTTTAGGGTCTGAGTATATATACACATAATGGTACATATAATTTTAGGGGATATATCTTCCACCAAGGCCCATCCATAGATAAGAAACTCTGATGTTATATATTATGAACAATAGCCACTATTTGAGCGCATACTAAGTGCCAAGTAAGTCCTTGACAGAATTATTGGATTTAATCTTCACAATAATGCTACAAAGATAGGTTTTATTATTTCCATTTTACAAATGACAGAACTTGCCCACAGCCGGTGTCCGCTGTGAGTACTATGTGTGTAGCAATGCTTCCCCGCCTCTTTTCAAGTCACAGAACATGGGTGTTTTCTTCACAATCTGTGTTAAGGCCTCAGGATGGGGAACATAAATGGACCCCAAGCACTCAAAAGAGCCTTTAGAGAGCTCAGTTTCAAGTATTTTCTCAAGGATTTTTCCTTCCCCCACCTCAAACCCAAAATGTCAACCTCAACCCTGCTTACCTCTCCTCATGAGGCTACCTGGGTCACTTTTTAGAGGTGCTTCTTGAGTGAGGGTGGGCTGGATCAACAGCCCTGGGTTCAAGTCCTGGTTCTACAATTTGAGCTGTGAGGCACTTCTCTGGGTTTGTTTCTTCACTGAACAATAATGGAATAGTAAAACTAACACCTGGCGTTTGAAGAATGTTTTTGAAAGTATTTGCACATCAATTAATGCATTTATCATCTTCATTTTCCAGATGAAAAGACTGGGAGCCTGAGAAGTAAAATAAGTCCAGGGTTACTCAGAAAATGGTGGCCAAGATGGGAACCCTGGTCTAACTTGGGTCTAGTTCCTTTCCTTTACACTGGCACATTTTTCTGTGTTACTCTGAGCTTTAGAATTCTATTTCCTTTTTTTTTTTTTCTTATGCCAATTGAGCTTGATGTCCCCTTCAAGCACAGGTCCAACTACTTGCTCCCTCAGGATGGTTGGCTGTGGCGAAGAAGTTATCATAACTTTGACTCTTGTTAGCTCTATTACATACATGGACATTCTTAACAGCACATACAAATATGTATGTAGAAATATCATCTGCCAACCTTATATATGGTCATGGGTATACTCCCATTTGCCAAGATATAACCTGATCATTCAGCCTGTCTATCCCTCTACATACCTGTAGAGTAATGTTTGTTATCACTGATAATGCAGTACTATATATGTAAAAGCATTTATCTTTGTTGTCTGTACCTGTTGTGTACTTCTCTGTGTCTTCATTGTCTTTAGTGTTATTGTGTTGGAAGATTAGGCAATCCACTTCTGTAGTGATACTGCCTCGGAAACCCAAGGAGGGGTCGCTATGAGTTGGGTCCGACTCCATGGCACATAACAACAAAAACAACATTGTGTTGGTCACTTGCTTTTGGTATAATGCCTTTCCCTTCACCCAAATCAATACTTGTCTCTACCTATCTACCAGCGTTCCCTCCCCTCCCCTTCAATTTCTGGTAACCAAGCTTTAGAATTCTGCAGTCTGGGCTTGAGGTTGGCATTGGGGATGGCAGAGTTGGGTAGAAAACCCACTTCTTGACCAACCAAACTGCTTCAAAGACAAGAGCAGCAATTCAACATTATAATGCCTCAATACACACTAATGTAACCAATTTTCATTCATGGAGTCAGTATGGTATAGCAGGAGTCAAAAAAAAAAAAGTCTCAATTCTTGTCCTGGCTGTGCCATTGACCTCTGTCTGACCTGACAACTTATTTCACCATTGTGCCTGTTTCCTGTTAGTAGAATGTGGAGATGAAACCAGCTAAGTTACCCAGCTCAGATACCTTCATTCTTCCAGCGCTGCAGCATTGCCAGCTTTCTGGCAGCAACACCAGCATTGAATTTTTTTTTTCATTTTCCTACTTCAATAGGCTGTGATAGTGCCTTAGTTGTTTGGGTTTATACTGAGTTGGCTTTTTTAAAAATCTGTACTCCACAGATCACTTTACACGATAGAAGGCAGACTGTGACAAGAATATGGGGCGGTTCATGATCCCTGATGAGACCAGAAAGGCCTGGACCTGCAGCTGGCAGTGAAGGCAACTTGGTTCTCTGGGATGCTTCCCTACCTCCCTTTCAGCACTTCATGGACTCGAACCACTAGCTCACCTTCCAGATGCTTGTTGCTATTCTTCACTCCCCTCACTCCTCTTACCAGCTTGGGGTTGTGGCCAGTGGTTCATGAGGGACCAAAGCTACTTGGTTGGTGTGGTAAGGCAGAAAGAGCAGAGGTGTTAACATCTGACCAAAGGTCACCTTTTTGTTCTTGGCAGTTATCTGCTGTGTGATCTTGGACAAGGTATTTAACCCACTGAAGTCTAAATTTTGGCATCTATAAAATATGTCTAACATTACCTACCTCACAAGGTTGGTATGAAAATTAAACATGATGATGAATAAAAAGCACCCGGCATGCATGATTACAGGCTGTTTCTTCTCCCACCCTCACCTATGTATCTTCTCCAGCCCTCGCTTTTACTCTCCAGAACTAAGGGGTAGTGGAATTCCTTTGGATGAGCAGTTTACCCTCTTGTACCTGCTAGCCATTGATGAGGCCAAGCACAGGTGAATTGTAAACCTACACTGCAGCAGCAATAAAAAATAATGCCTTGTTATTTGTACATCTGTATCATTTCTAAAGCACTTTCTCTGACAAGATTTCACTTTTTACAAGTGCTACTGAAGAGCACAGAAACCAGACTCATTGGATTTTGCCCAGGAACTATCCACTGAGATTCACATTGCCACCTAATTTGACATCATCTATAAAAACAATTATTAATCTCTAAAACATAATCTACTATAAAATCTGAGCTTGGAAACAAAACTTTTTGGTCAAGCATTTTGATGCGGCAAACCAGAAAGTGCAACCTCATTCCAGTTTGGTGGGATCTTTTTCACACCAAGCTCCACTGTAGTTGTTAGCTACTCAATCTACTCTCCCTAGGATTATTCATCTAAAATCCCACTGCTGTAGCAAACTTCCTACCTGGTCTCCCTGTCTTGAATTTCCTCCTTCCACACTATTCCCCATACTGCTGCAGAGCTCAGAAATACAAATCTAACCATGTCATTCCCATTGGAAACTCTTCAATGACTTCACAATCCCTATAGGAATACCCATTTGTCAGAGTCAATGCCAACTCCTAGCAACGCTATAGGACAGAGTAGAACTGCCCCATAGGGTTCCCACAGCTGTAATCTTGATAGAAGCAGACTGCCTCATCATTTTCCCGTAGAGTGGCTGGGGGATTCAAATCACTGACCTTTTGCTTAGCAGCTGGATGTTTTAACCACATCACCAGGGCTCCTTCCCCATAGGAATAAGTCAAGAATATTCTGCATGGCTCACATAGGCTTTTATAATCTGGCTCACTTCATATTCACAGACTAGAACAAGAACAGGCAATCTCCTTCCATAAAGGGCCGAATATTAAATATTTTAGGCTTTGTAGGTCATAGGTGTCACAACTACTGAGCTCTGCTGCTGTTCCATGACAAAGCCATGAATGACATGTACACAGTTGAACATGGCTCTGTTCCCATAACACTCTCATGGACCAGATGTGGCCTATGGGCCACAGTTTACTGACCTCTGAGCTAGAACTAAACTCCATTTTTAAATCTGTCAGATGTCTTCTTAAAACTGGATGAATGGTAACTGATCATTCGTTCTCTGATGAACTATTTTTCTTGTGACAAAAAGCAGTCAAGGTACTCATGATGACCATTTTAATTACAAAGTGTTAACATACAGATTAATGCAAACTTCAGATGTCATAGAAACATGTTCCATAAACAGGGAAACTGGAACTTTCTGGAGACTTCAACGCACTGGATGGAATTCTTCAAGAATTTCCCCATAAATTTTCTTATCTATAAAAGGAAAGATCACAACATTAAGACTTATTTAAATTATGTTTAAAAAATCTATTTCCTAAAGGAAAATGAATACTCAATCTTCTTATGGATAGAAACCCCTAAGAATTTCTCTGTTTTCTGGAGGTCAACATGGCTTGCTAATAACTGAGACATTTTGTTTCACTAAATGAAGAGTGACATGAAAATGGCTGCCAGGAGGGGAAAGGTGCTGCCAGAAGTAGTCTGGCGGAAAGGATGATAAGGATGAACAGGGTGAGGCTGAGGTCAGCTAGGAGGGGCCAGGCGTGGATGTGGTCAAAGCTTTCCACATCTCTGCTGTAGTGCACATGGCTCTTGGCACACCAGCCGGTCATCTGTAGCTCAGAGACAGAATGAGCCGGTGTCGTAAGGTGCACTCCTGCAGACAGAGGCACCTAGTGGAAATATTTCCAGGCAAAGAGCCAGAAGGTCTGGCTAAGTCACTGGATCTCATTTTGTTGTTACATGCCGTCGAGCGGACCCAACTCATAGCGACTCCTCCTTGGGTTTCCGAGGCAGTATCACTAAGGAAGTAGATTGCCCCATCTTCCTTCCAAGGAGTGGCTGGTGGGTTCGAACCGCCAGCCTTCTGGTTAGCAGTCAAGTGCCTTAGGCACTATGCTACCAGAGCTCTTTTTAGGGAATCAGTACTTCCAAGATTCCTTCCAGTTCTAACACCCAATGGTTCTCAGTATTCCCCATTCCCTGATACATGGCTTTATACTAGTCTTTAAATTCTACATTGGCAAAAAAACTGTAGTTTTTTGGTTCAACTATAAACATCACATCTTTGATTGAAGGCCACAGGAACATTACATAGAGTAACAAAATTTTAGAGTTAGCTCCTTAGTGATCATTCAATATAATAAAATTTAAATGTTTTATATTATACATTAACATGAATAGGAAAATCTATTTATATATTTACAAATTTCCTATACTCATTCATCTAATCATTTAATAGTACTTATTAAATGTGTAAGCCCTGGATAAAAAAAAATATATAGCCTATGAAGTTAAGTTCCCAGCCTAAAGAGCTGACGTATGTGCAGATACATCTGTATTATGTGCATGTATGTAAAATACAGATAAGAAAACATATCACAATTACATTTAGAGATGAACAGAGATTAAACAGAGCTGCTGAGGGAGTCCCCATCTGTAGTTGGGTAAAAGCTTCACTGAGATGGTGAATCCTGAGTGAGAATTTGCTAGGTGGGCAGGGTGGGAATAGGGACAACAGGAGGAAGAACAAATCAGGAAGAGGGTATAGCATGTACAAAATGATACAGGACAGGCTCCAGACTAAGCATTTCATAAGGCAGGAGTGGAATGATGGAGATAAGGCTGGAAAGCCAGGCATGGGCCAGTCATGCAGGGTTCTACGCAAGTCAGGTCAGCTATTATGAATTAAGTGCTTACTATGTGTATGCTCTGTAGGCTGAGGAAACAAAGGTAAAGCTATAGTCCAGTGAGTGCATATAATGGATCAAAGAGAAGGGTATTTCTCCCCAGTAGATAGGCAATTAGTCCAGTCTGGGGGGAAATAACCCACCCTGAGGATTTTATCACAGAGGAAGGTTTTTATTGTTTGTTTGTTTGTCTGCTTTGCAATTTTAAGGTAGAGAGATGTGATCAGATTTGCTTTCAGTAGAAAAGTGAAGGCAGAGACAGGCTGGAGGCAAGTACAACAGTCTAAGCAAGAGTTTATCAGGGCCTGGGCTAAGATAGTGACACTGGGAGAGAAAACAAGAGTTCAAAGTTCAGAAATATTTAAGAAGTAGAACTGATAAGACTTGATGACTAATGGGAAGTGAGAGAGAAAGACCTATTTTCTCAGCTTCTGATTTGAGTGCCCAGGTAGACGGTAGTGCTACTCACTGAGGCAGGTCAGAGGAACAGGAGGTTCGGAAAGGCAAAAGGGGACAAGAATTTTGTTTGCTGTAACTGAGGGACATGGAGGTACTCAGCCAGAAACTGGATATATGAATTTAAGAAAATCCTGGGCTAAAGACAAAGATGTATGCATTAGAATACAGAAGGTACCTGAAGCCACAGACATGGATAAGATTAACCAGGGAGAATGGTACAGAGTAAGAAAAGTTTTCTACAATTAACTTGAAATACCTTTTTCAGGAAAATCCTCTGGATGTGATTTTACATATGCAAACATATCATGGTCCCTCACAGCATACAAATAGTCATGACGTTTTAAAAGGTAATATCCAACAAAAAAAAAGGAAGTAGCATATAGAAGATGGCGATGCAAACCTGAAATTCAAATGACAAATCCCAAAGAAAGAAAACATCAGTTAATGTGTATTAAGAATTACAATTTTACATTTCAGCTATTTATTATAGATCTTCCAACATTCTTTTCTTAAAAAAAGCAAAAAGCTTTTCTATATGGCAATGTCTAAAACAACAGCCTTGACCTTCAGATATCTGATATCCTCTTAAAGGCTGGCAATTATGAAAACCAACTTTCTCTCTACAAACCAACTATCAACAGATCCCAAGATTTTTTCCCCAGGCCTTATAAGACTCTGCATGATAAAAGGTGAAAAAGTACAAAATTTTGAATGTTGGAATAAGAACGGATTTTTTTTAAAACATAAATTAACTTTAGACCTAAACTAACTGATGGGACAGAGGTAAATCTGGTTTGTCTCCATATCTTGATTTATAGCTCCATGTTTACTAGTTACTACAACAGTAAGCTAAACTATAAATTTATCTAAAAGAAATCTCTTTACTGTACTCTCTTTTTATACTTCCTGAATTTTGTATCATTTGCATGTGTTCCATATTCAAAAATAGTATTTTTAAAATAATCATGTCTTCAGGGGAAGATCAAATCACATGATCGAAGGAAAACTAAAATTTAAAGTCTAAAGGAGAGATCCAGAGGTGTGGCTTTTATATACAGAAACATCTTTTACTAAAGGGTAAATGTTGGTTAGGTTTTCTGGCCATGTCCTAGAATTCCATCCCCAGTCCTTTTCTCTTTTCATCCCACACACATTCCTTTGAAAAGCTCATTTATTCCTGTGCTAATGACCCATCAGTATGTCCAACCCAGATACCCATGATGAGTAACACACATATCCAAATGTTTTGTGGGTGTGTCTTCCTGAAAAACCCAAACTGAACACATTTCATACCTATTTTTCCTATTTCAGAAAATAGCAGGATCACCTATGCAAGAGCTTATGTCAAATCATCCTTTTTCCATCCTCTTCCCTGATATCCAGTCATTGAGTCCTGTCAATTCTACTTTGAAAATATTTCCTTTCCTACTACAGGAAACTTACCTCTCATTTGCACTAACTGGTACCCTTCTGTGGTGGTTAAGTTTGTGTGTCAACTTGGCTGGGCCTGGTTGAGTGGCTGGGCAGCTGGTGGTAGTTATTCCCCATGATGAGACTGGCAATAAACTCCATGGTGGGATCTACCACAAGCAGCTGAGTAGCTGCCTTTGGGATGTGGTCTGCTTCCTGTATATAAGGAGAAGCCTTGGGAACGGTTTCTAGCTTATGGCACCTTGAACCCTACATGTAGCCATGTCGTTGTTCAGCAGCCTGCCATGCTCTGCTGATCTTGGGACTTACAATGGACTTGAATTAATGGCCTGCTGTGTGATTTGGTAATATCAGGACTGTGCCTTTTTACTTGTCAACCTTGGGCTAGCCAGCTTCAGCAGCCAGCGGCTGTCTGAGTGAAAAAAAGCCTCTAGCTTCAGTGGGCCAGAAGCTGGAGGCAGAGCTAAAGCCCAAGGCTGAGGGGCTTTCACCCAGCCCCTAGAGCCTGACACTGTGAACTTGGACTCAAAGCCTCCAAATTGTAAGAATAAACTCCTGTTTGTTAAAGCCATCCCGTTTGTGGTACATTCTTGTCAGAGCAGCACTAGGTAACCAGAACACCTTCTTATCTCATTTTCTACTTTACTGATTTCCACTGTTAGCCTGTCACAAGAGAAATCTTACTAAAATGTAAACCTATCTTGTGGGTTTCTTCCATCCTTTAATTATGCCCAATAGTAGTCTAAACACCTGAATATGACCTAGGTGGCCCTTCATGAGCAAATTTCTACCTTTATCTTCTGACAATCCCTGATATACACAATATGCTCCAGTAACAATGAAATAGTTCTGCCTTCCCATATAAACCATGCTATTCATGTTTCTATATACCACCATTGATTATTTCTCTGTAGTGACCTCGTCATCCTTCAAGACTCAACTCAGATACCAGTTACTTCCTCTAAGGAGTCTTCCTGGAGTTAAAAGGGTGAACTCATTTCTACTAATACTTAAGTTGCTGTAATAATTTATTTCTGTCTACTACCAGGCAAGGCCAATGTTTGGTACATCTTTGAATATCAGCACTTAGTAAATATTTAATAAAAGAGTGAATGACCTTGGGCAAGTCAATCTCCTACCACTAAAATAGAGACAATATCTACCCTAACTTTCCACAGTAATATACATGAAAAGGTGTATAAAAGTGTTTTGAAAAATGTGTAACATAATAAAAATGCAAAATATTCCTACAATCTGGGAATGGTCTGGGCCCAGGCTCCTCTGCACCCTCTGTTACTCCAAACAGCCACTGTTTCCCAATGGGCCATCTGCAACGTAGTGAACTGGAGTATGCCGAGTTCTCCCAGGTACCACTGGATGCTTACCCATATCCCTCACAGAAAAGACTATAAATGTTTTAGTTGATGATGTCCAAGTACCAGCTCTAAAGGCATGGCTCAGCCTCTTCCAAGTGCCCATTTCCTTAAGCTATTCTCTCTCTCCTAAGTGGTGGTCTTCCCCTGACCACATGCACAATCTCCTTCACAATCATTTCCCTCTTCTTTCCTTTACTCAATGAATCTAAACCTGGAAGTTACTGTGCTCTTTGCAGAACATCATAAAATACTGATATATGGAATGAGAAATCAGTAAATATTTAATTTTGTGGACTATATTTAGATAGATACCAAATCAAACCCATTGTCATTGAGTTGATTCTGACTCATAGAGACCCTACAGAATAGAGAACTACCCATTGGGTTTCCAAGGCTGTACATCTTTATGGAAGCAGACTGCCTCATCTTTCTCCTGCAGAGCAGCTGGTGGGTTCAAACTGCTGATCTTTCAGTTAGCGGAGCAGTGTTTAACCACTACATCAGCAGGGCTCCTTGAGCCATACAAAGAGGCAGGCATTATCTCCATTGTAAACACAAGGAAATAAGTTCACAGTGGTAGGTAATTTCTCCAGAATCAAAAGCTAGTAGAGATGGTATCAAACCCTAAAGCATGTGCTCTTAACCACTGTACTCTTTTGTTTACCAGAACTAAAAACACTGCTAAATAATAGAAGCTTGGTAATAATGAGGTGAGATTAAGTGGTACCCATCATGTTTCAGCCAACCTTTACTTTACTGAAACAGTCTCCCTCCCATCTGTACCACGTAGCACAGCGCCTGGCACAGAGAAAAAGCTCAGTAAATGTTGAACAAATATATGGTAAAATATTTTCATAACAATAGCTAGGGAAAGGGAATTTTGTCTAGCATTTTTTGTGTCAGGCACTTTACCTTACCCCTACAACAAATATGTAAAGATTACTTTATCTGATTTTATAGATGGGGAAACTCTGGTTATGTGTGGCCTGACCACAAAACTTGCCCAAGGTGATATAGCTGGGAGCAGTGGAACAGGGGCATGTAGTTTTAAATGGAGGTGTTTTCATTACACCAAGAGACAGACTTGGAAAAAGTGGGAGTAGTGATCAAAAGGAAGAAAACCCCATGTCTTTAGAGGCAGAAATGGACAAAGATCATTCCTTTCTGTGGTGAGGGGTCATGTCCAAGGGAGATGGGATTTCAGTACTATTTAAGCACTGCAAGTGCTAGAATTTGGTGGGCTGGAACCAACCTCTAGAAATGACATGCAGCTGGAATAAGGCTAAAAAGCCATTTGTGGGGTGATTCTTGGTTACCTAACCATTGCATGAGTTCTCCTGTGGCAGAGCTCTCTGCACCCACTGCCTTCAAGTCAATTCCAGCCCATGGCAACCCAATGAGTTTCAGTAGAACTGCGCCATAGGGTCTCCTTGGCTACAATGTTATGGAAGCAGATGCTCGGGCCTTTCTTCCGCAATGCTAATGGGTCCGTTTGAACCATCATCTTTTAGGTTGGCAGATGAGTTCAAATCCTTTGCACTACCCTGGGATCTACCAACTGGGCTCCTTGGTACTAATCCACGCTTCACGTCGCTAATAAAGTTAAACTTATAAATTGTACTCCCCCAGCTTTCAAAATCTGTCTGCCTAGAGTAAATGCACTCAATCATCAAACTGGCCCCATTTGCAGAAGGCTTCACCTCCTCCAGGAGCCCTGGTGGCATAGTAGTTAAAGCATTCAGCTGCTAAGCAAAAGGTTGGCAGTTCAAACTCACCAGCCACAGGACAAAGATGAGGCAGTCTGCTTCTGTAAAGATTTACAGCCTTGGAAACCCTATGGGGCAGTTCTACTCTAACCTAAGAGTTGCACTGAGTTGGAATCCATTCCATGACAGTGGGGGTTACCTCCTCTTAAGAAGCCCAGGTGGTGTAACGGTTAAGCAGTCAGCTGGTAATTGAAAGGTCAGCCCTTTGAACCCATCAGCTGCTCTGTGGGAGAAAGATGTGACAGTCTGCATCAGTAAAGATTTACAGCCTTGGAAACCCTATGGGGCTTTTGTACTCTATTCTACAGGGTCATCATGGGTTGGAATGGACTTGCTGGCAACAGGTTTTACCTCCTCCATTTGTTCCCACTGGAAGCTCCCAGCATCTGCCTGATAGGTCAAAACTAAGTTCAGACATATCTTCCAAAGTTTTCCTCTTGTTCTCCCTTTGGAACTCCAGTTCTTAGCATAGATATCGTGTCAGCCATTATCAGGATAGTCAGTCTCTTGTCAGTAGGCATACTGGCAATACACTGTAAACCCAGAGGTTTAGATCCTCTCAAAGTGCTATCCCAGATCAGCACCAGCAGTACCCAGGAGCTTGTGAGCAACGCAGAATTTATCAGGACCCTCTCTGGACTTACAGAATCAGAATTCCCATTTTGACAAAATCCAAGTTACTACTAGGAACACTGAGAAGCAGTGAGGTCTAAAACAGGCTCTGCAACTTAGGAGGCACATGACCTTGAGCAAGCTGCTTTAACCTCTAAGGCTCTGTATCCTCGTGGAGATACGTCCCCATAAAGTATTTAAGGATTAAATGCTTTAATGCACGAAGTGTCAGCAGTGCATGGAAGAAGTAAATGCTTTGCACACAGCACTGCGTAGCACAACTGAGAGGGGAACAAGCAACCCAGTCCAGGGTCCTTCAGACTCTGCATGGGGACGTGGGTATGTCTGCTTCGCTACACCTGTTTTCCAGAAGTGCCAAATGGCACAATGGCCTAGCTCGATTCTGGGAGGCCAAGTCCAGTAAGGAGAAAAGACCCCAAAAAAACGGAGGTGGAGCCAGTCCTTCGCCCTGCGAACCCCCCTTGTTCCCGCCGACCCCGCCTGCGCGGCCCTCACCCGCCTTCACCACCGGCCTCCGCCGGATCGCGTTATCAACCAGGCCGGCGCAGTAGCCCATGAAACCAATGTAGAGGAGGCGCGGATCGCTCAGCTTGGGCGGGGGCAGGCTCCGGGCCTCGTCCGGTAGAAACTGTAAGGGCACTCGGCCCGGCCGTCCGTTCATCATGGTGATGCTGTTCTCACCTAAGGCCTGGAGTCAGACCTCTAACTACAAGGAAAACGACTACAACCACCGCCGGGGCCACAACTTTGCTCCTCCAAGCACTGAGCTGAAGGGCATGACGCAGAGCGGTGTGGTGCCCAAATGCGTCCCCGCGCGCTCCCGCCGGAACTCCGCATTTGAGGTTCCGGATTACTAAATGGCCTACCCCTACTAGCCCGCCCTCCCGCTGGCAGTAATCCTGCTGGTGGGAGTGGGTGGTCGGATGCCTGGTATTAAGGGATAGTAGAGTACATCAAACAAGCCAAACTGGGTAAAGACCAGGAGATACTGATCTTTTTATCGCCCAGTCTCTCCTACCCTGAATTGTCCGTCCGTGTTCTGCCCTGACATATTCCTATTGCAAAAATCCAACACCCCCAAGTGGTCATGGATAGTTTAGAGAACCAATTTCTTCTCAGCTACCTCCAATACTGAGGAGTTTCCATCTTTGAATAGCTCTCTAGAAACACTTTCCTGTGGTGTCCACTCATTAATGGGATCAAAATTTTATCTAGGTGAATGCTGATTAAACCAGAGGTTAGTGCAAAGGCACAAATATCTCGGAAGTGGAAGAACTATCAGTTAAGAGTGAGTAAATAAAGCATGGACCTTTTATGCCTATGAAAAGCACTCCCTGATCTGTAATATTTCAAGCCAGGATTTTCCAGAGGAGTGTATATTGGCACAGTTTCCCAGAAGGCAGAAAATGTTTCAAATGTTCACATCCTTTAACCTAGTAATTACTTGTCTGGGAATCTGTTCTACAGACATAATATAAACTATGAAAAAGCTTTTTTGCACGAAGTTTTCTTTCAACCACAGTGTTTCTTTTAACGTGGTATCAGAAGAATTAAATCCACTGAAAAGGTTCCACAGTAGGCTTATGTAAACGCTGAATACCAGATAGGTTATTAGCCAAACACTTAAATGTTTGAATGTTTACAAAGATTCTGATAAAACGTGATGACGTGTTTATGTGTACTGAATGGAGCAGCCACAGCTCAGCTTCTGCAGAGAACCGAGCCCTGAGTAACCAGTTGCAGTCTGAATGGACTCCAATTCTGGACTACGTGTGTGTCAAGAGTGGAATAGCTCTCGTTACAATTTCCCTTTTCAATTTTTATTTATTTTGTTGTCGTTGAGAATATACACAGCAAAACATACACCAATTCAACAGTTTCTACATGCGCAACCTAATGACAATGATTATATCCTTGGAGTTGTGCAACCATTGTCACCCCTTTTCTGATTTTTCTGAGTTCCTCCCCCGCCACTAACATAAACTCAGGGAGCTCTGGTGGCGTTGTGCCTAAGGCATTTGACTGCTAACCAGGAGGCTGGCGGTTCAAACCCATTCTCCTTGGGAGGAAGATTGGGCAAAATACTTCCATAGAGATACTGCCTCGGAAACCCAAGGAGGAGTTGCTATGACTCGGAACCGACTGGACGACACTGAGTTTGTTATTTTAGTTTCCATAAACTCCAAAAACCAAACTCACTGCTATTGAGTCAATTCCGACACATAGCGACCCCCATTGGGTTTCCAAGGCTGTAAATCTTTACAGAAGTAGATTGCCCTATCTTCTTCCGCCGAGCGGCCGTTGGGTTTGAACGGCCAACCTTCTAGTTAGCAGCCAAATGCTTTACACATTGCACCACCAGAGCTCCCTACACCTTCCAAATTCTCTTCCTATTCATGACTCTACTTCTTGTTGCTCCAGGAGAATAGAGACCACTTTTTGTGCCTTAGAAGGCCACCGCAAGCTTTTAAGACCCTAGTCACTTCACAAGGAACTAGGAGGTGGAATAGAATCACTAAACACGTTATTAGACCAATTAAGTGGGATGTCCCATGAAATCATGACACTTAACCTCCAAACCAAGGAACCAAATCCCATGCAGCTACTTTTTTTTTTTTTCCTATCATTGTTATAAACATATCTATCACATACCTAAGAAACTTTGGTCTCTATACATTTGCCTTTTCTTTTTATTTATATATGTATTTTATATATATTATTTATATATTTATTATATATATAATATATGTCTTTTTGTGACTTATTTCACTCAGCATAATGTCTTCAAGTATCAAGACTGCATTTCTCAACCACTAATCAAAAGATTAGGTAGGGATCTTAGGGGGGAAGTGAACTTACGTTAATGAGGGAGGAACAACTCAGAAAATGAGGGTCAAAATGGTTGCACAACTTGAAGAATGCGATCAATGTCACTAAATTGTACATGTAGAAAATGTTGACTTGGTGCATGTTTTGCTATGTATTTGGGGACAAAAAAGACTTAATTTCTCCTACTGGCTAAGTTGTGTTCCATTTTATGCATGTACCACATTTCAGTTGTTCATTTATCTGAGATGGGTGTTTCAGTGACTGGTATTTTGGAAGTAGATCGCCAGGCTTTCCTTCTGAGGCACCTCTAGGTGGACTCCAACCTCCAAACTTGACATTGACAGGTGACTGGGATGTCATTTGGACCAGCTTGGGACTCCAGCCATGTATGTAAGGAGCTCCATATCAGTCACCTAGCACACTGCTCTCCAGCAAAACTTCTCAACAAACTCTTCCCCATATTCTTCTGGGACCAATCTGGAGACATTATTATTATTATTATTGAAGAGACTAACAAAATACTACCTAGATTTTTAAAATATTAATATTTTGTCATATTTATTTCTAATTTTTTTAAAAAGGAAATAAATACCACAAAAAAAATCTTGTTTCTTCCCTGAGACAACCAACTACAGTGTGTATACTTTGTTATATATGCTTTAATTTTTTTTTAAACCTAAATAGTACAATTTATTGTTTCTGGTCTTTCTCTTGCTCTTATTTCTCCTTATAATGTTTTTGAGATTTATCCATGATATAGAAAGATCGAGTTCATTCCTTTGAACTGCTGTATAATAAAACATCATATAAGTGTTACATTTTATTCAACCATTACCCTTTTGATGGACATTTGGGTTGTTTCCATATTGTTTCACTTACCTAAGTCTGTACCCCAGACTCTAGTGACACTTATGCATATGCATACCAGGACCCGGAGACATATAAAGTATTCACAGCAGAACAATTTCTAATAACCCCAAACTGAATTCCTAGATGTACATTAAGAACAGAATGGAAAAAAAAATTGTGGTAATTTCATACAAAGAAAGAACCATGTATTGACATAGATGAATCTTAAAAACGTGACTTTGAGCAGAAGAGGTAATTCATAGGAGAATATTTGATTCCACTTATATTAAGTTCAAAAGTAGGCAAAAATGTGTTGTTTAGAGATACATATATATTGTCTCCTACGTATCTTTTTCAAAAGCTAGCTCACAATAAATATATATTTTTTATTATTAATAGTTGCACACTTTTACTTTCCCTCATGATTTTAAAGTCATTTTGTTAAGTTTTCTAAAATATCTTGTGGGGAGTATTGGTTGGAGTTGAACTGAATTTATAGACTAACATTAGGATAATTGATACATTTAAAATGCCAAGTCTTCTCATCCACAAACCTGGTTTGTTTCTCCATTTATTAAAGTTTCCTTTTGCACCCTCAATAAAACTTTATAATTTTCTCCATAAATTCTTATGTATTTTTTATAGTTTGTCTCTAGATATTAATAGTTTCTGTTGCTATCATGAATGACATTTTTATATTCTATTACATTCTAAGGAGCTCTGGTGGCATAGTGCCTAAGGTATTTGACTGCCAACTAGAAGATTGGAAGTTCAAACCCACCAGCCACTCCATGGAAAGAAGACTGAGCAATCTACTTCCATAAAGATTTACTGCCTCAGAAACCCAGAGGGGGTTGCTATGAGTCAGAATTGACTTGATGGCAGTGAGTTTGGTTTTTTCTTTTTGGTATTACATTTTTTTAATTGGTTAGCTAAAAATTTTTTTTTTATCCATCCATCTATCTAAATTCTCTTATTGGCTCTAATTTTTCAGTTGGTTCTCTTGGTTTCCCTACATCTTTGGCAACCCCTTGTCCCTTGCCATTGTCAAACTTTTTTTTTTTTGCCACTCCATTGGTGGAAAATATTTTATTGTTGTTTTCAATTTACCCTTCCTGCTTACTAGTGTAGTTGAATATCTTTTCATACGTACCGTCATTCCAGTTTCTTCCTCTGTGAATGAATTGACTGTTCATCTTTTGCCCACTTTTCTTTGGATTATGTTTTTTCCTAGCTGATTTACAGGACCACGCACATTCTCAACACTAATGAAATATACTGTTTTTATGTAGTTAGTTTTATCCATTTTTTTCCTTGATGAATTATCCTTTTTGAACTTTGTCTAAGAAATCTTGTTCACTCATTTACAGTGTCCTTCTGTTCTCACTCTTGAACTCTCCTTATAGAGAACACCAATGACCTCCACACCCTATGCTACCCATTTTACTCAACATCTCAGTAGCATTTGACAGTCATCTTTTCTTCCAATTCACACTCTCTCCCCTTAGCATCCAGCATCTCTGGTAGCGTGATGCCTAAGGCACTTGACTGCTAACCAGAAAGCTGGCGGTTCAAACCCAGCAGTCACTCCTCGGAAGGAAGGTTGGGCAATCTACTTCCATAGTGATACTGCCTTGGAAACCCAAGGAGGGGTCGCTCTGAGTCAGGTCTGACTTAATGGCACATAACAACAACAACCCTTCAGCATCCAGGGCACACTCCTAGTTCTCTTGCTTCATGGCCTTCTCTTTATCAGTTTCTTTTCTCAGGCTGCAAATGTCAGAATTCCTCAGACTTGTCCTGGGCTCTCTTCTTTTTACTAGCTACTCTATTTCCTTAAGTGATGCTATCTCCTCCTTGGCTTTAATGATCACAAATATACTGATGATGACAACATTTACATCTCCAGTCCAAACCTTCTTCTGAGCTCAAGAGGCGTATCTAATCACCTGGTTGACATCTTCACCAGTATCTCTCACAAATATC